ACACCTACCCAACGTGTCTGTCAAAACATAAGGGACAAAGATCTTTTGCAAGAGAGACTGTGGGACTTGAAAACTCTAACAGCCTAAGTCCTAAGACTTCTTTATGACTTTAAACTTCTTGGAGTTTAAGAAATTTAAATAATAAAAGTAGTTTGACTCAAGTTGCACTGACATTTATCTCAATTTGATGATGGAAATATGCCCAGAGCTGCCTAGGAGTCAAGAATATATTTGAGTGAATGCTTATAAATTTCTTATCATAATAAAAGTATTGTGATAACCATATTCTCTCAGTAATCTGCCTACAGGACTCCCTTCCCTTGGCTTCCCTCTGACTGTCCTTAATTGACTTGCACACACAATTCTTCAAAGGCCAGTTTTTCCTTTATGCTGGGAGTCTTAAATGTTAAAGGCAATGTTATATCTGGCTGCTGAGTCAAATGGAGAAAAAACAAGTACACAGTTAATCATGAGAGGCCATAGCTAATACGATTTAAAATTACATCAGTACTGCAGACAGACAAACTCTTTCATGATGGCATTTCCTTTTTTTCTTAACCTTTCACAGTCAACAGCTTCTTTTTTTTTTTTTTTTTTTTTGGCCACACCAGCATGGCATGTGGGATCTTAGTTCCCTGACCAGGGATCAAACCCATGCCCCCTGCAGTGGAAGCTCGGAGTTTTAACCACTGGACTGCCAGGAAAGTCCCAACAGCAAATCCTATAGTACTTTTTCTATCAGTCCTGAAACCAATCAAATATTCTTTATACCACAATTATCCTGGTTTAGAGGGATTAAGAACACACAGGATATCTTGAAAGTATGTCCACCTTTTACCAAAAATAGTGTTATAGCAACTTCAAGAATCCCTGCTCATTTAATGGAACTTAAACATTACCAAGATGACACACACAGAAGAAGGAAGGAATCCCCAGAAAGAATACGATAAATACTAAGGCATTGGTATAAGTTGTTTAAAAGGATTAAGAACACACAGGATATCTTGAAATATGTCCACCTTTTACCAAGAGTAGTGTTATAGCAACTTCAAGAATCCCTGCTCGTTTAATGGAAATTAAAACATTACCAAGATGACACACACAGAAGAAAGAAGAAATCCCCAGAAAGAATACAATAAATACTAAGGCATTGGTATAAGTTGTTTAAAAGGATAGAGGTCTTATTATAACAGAGAAATTTTCTCCCCTTCTTTTCTTCCTGTAACAGACAGAAAGGATGGGGTAGAGAGATCAGATGCTCTGAAAAGCTACACTCATCTTAATGACCACCATATAAGTTCTTAAAGACTTAGCCCCAGTTTTCAACGTTTTTACCACTTAAAACTGCACAGTGAGGCCGTGAAGCCTTTACTCTGTGACAAGGGTGAGAAACCCGCAGCCTCACCACACCTGTGCCATTGCCAATGTAAATTTCCTCTCCATGCCTTCTCACCATACACATTTCAGCTGCTTTCCCCATCGGTTCTTTTCCTCACCCATTTTCTGCTGGTTATCAGTAGAAGTTGAGCTGATGGAAATCAACTTTGCCCTTTAAACATGCTGTCAGTTCCAGACCAGTGGCCCTGGGCTCAGCTTAGATCAGGACCACCACTCAGTCCCCTCAATCCCACCCCTGGGTAATTAATACACCAAGAAAGGCTTTAAGATTCCTTTTGCTGGGATATTTTTAAGCTTGAGAAGTTTAAGAATAAGTTAGTCCTTCTCCACATCCACTCCATTCTTCTACCCTTAATTTTTTCTGTGTTTGACTCTTAGCACTGCTGGCTCTTGGGTGGATTCCACACAGTTCCTTCCCAAGTATAAGTGGGAAGAGTCCAGTTGGTTCTCCTGTCCTGCCACCTGCTCTGAACTTTCTTCAGATTTGCCCCTGAGGTGACCCTGGAAGGATCTTCAACATTCAAGCTTTTAACCTATATCTCCTGACCAGATGGCAAAGAAGCTCAGCAGACCCAAGACTGATCACTACAGTCACCATTCTATTGAGTACCTGCATACAATCATTACAAATACAGTTACATAGCGATTATAATCTGATCTAATGCAAGGGTCATAGGTTTTGGAACCAAAGAGACCTGGTTATCACTCAAATTTACCACATGCGTAACGTTGGAAAAGTTACTTAATTTCCTGCATCTCAATTTCCTTTTCTATATATTTGAGATACTAATGCCTGCTCCATGGAGTTGCTAGGAGAATGACCTAAAATAATCTGTATAAAGGGCTTAATGCTGAACCTGGAACAGATTAGGTACTCAATAAATATTAAACTATATTTTGTTTATTTTTTGATCTCTGTATACCAGACCAAAAATAAATTTTATAAATATGTTCATGTATCATCTAAATTTTCATGTTTAGGTGACTGCTTTGGTTCACATGAAACTTCTCTGCTGGTGGAATCTAGAGGAATAAATTATCTCACAAGTCAGGCTGAGCATAAAAGGGACTTAAGAATTCAGACTCTCTCCCAGCTTCTGCTCAGTTGTGCTTATGTTAACCGATGGAAGCAGCATGTGATGGAGAACATGAAGAGAAAATTTTGAGTTTCTATACAATCTTAGTTATGACATAACAATTATTTGAAATATCATTCACTTCAATCCAAGGATGACTTATTAAGAATGTTGCATTCTTGGGACTTCCCTGGTGGCTCAGTGGTTAAGAATCCGCCTGCCAATGCAGGGGACACGGGTTCGATCCCTGGACCGGGAAGATCCCACATGCCGGGGAGCAGCTAAGCCCATGCACCACAACTACTGAGCCTGTGCTCTACAGCCCGCGAGCCACAACTACTGAAGCCCGTGTGTCTAGAGCCCGTGCTCTGCAACAAGAGAAGCCACCGCAATGAGAAGCCCACACATTGCAATGAAGAGTAGCCCCCTCTCACCGCAACTAGAGATAGCCCACGTGCAGCAACGAAGACCCAACACAGCCAAATAAATAAATAAATAAAATGGGTGACATAGATTAGTGGCTATATTAGTACAATACTAGAAAAATAACTCAGTGCTGAACATATATTTAAAAAAAAAAGAATGTTGTATTCTTATATGCTATGGGCAGAGTAAACTGTACTTCTATACACTGATACAAATGCAGAGAGTAAACTCATTAAGGCAAACAACAAAACATTTTAAAAAATTAAGTCAAATGGAGCCAGAGCTATGGATAAAATCGTTCCCCCAAACTGGGACTTCCCTGGTTGATGCAGTGGTTAAGAATCTGCCTGCAAATGCAAGGGACACGGGTTCGATCCCTGGTCTGGGAAGATCTTACATGCCATGGAGCAACTAAGTACATGTGCCACAACTACTGAAGCCCGCGCGCCTAGAGCCCATGCTCCGCAACAAGAGAAGCCACCGCAATGAGAGGCCCGCGCACCGCAACAAAGAGTAGTCCCCGCTCGCCGCAGCTAGAGAAAGTCCGCATACAGCAACGAAGACCCAACGCAGCCAAAAATTAAATAAAATTTAAAAAGTAAATAAATAAAATTTTTAAAAAATTGTTTCCCAAAGCTCTAGGTGCTCTCATTAAGAAAAATCACCTCAAAGATATCTTAAAAGATAGTTAATTCTTCAGCTACCTTATTCATATTTACAGGTAAAATATTTTCACCCCCAAACTGCTGCAGGTTTCTACAGAGATAGATAGATAGATATATAGATAGATAAATAGACAGATAGATAGACAGATAGACGGACATCAATAGATAATTTCAAAAGCCAGAGCATTTCTCCCAGGAGGTAATCAAAAGCATTACAAAACACCGGGGACCTAAATGTGGTCATCTTTGTCAAAATAAATGTGTAAATGTATTTATTTGCTGTGTATTAAGTACAAGTTCTTAAAGCAATGCAACTTGCATGGCATCTCTTCGGGAGACACTATGGCAACCCTCACTCCCAAAGGCATGAAGACCAATATAATTACAACACAAATCCATTCAACTGGTACCTAACTTCCCAAAGCAAATATTGTGCACAGCCTTTACTTGAAGACTAAATAAGTTTTCAATTTGCCATCAGTTTTACAGGTTACAGTCAAGGATTCCGAATAATGCTCTGGTGAGGTAAAAAATAATGGATCAGAGTCATATTTGACAACAGCTGGGGAACATCCCAGACTGCACTTAAACACCATAAAGCCTGGGATCTTCACGCATTGAGCTCTCTTCACAATGAGGAAGACATAGGAGACTAAGAAAACATACTGCAGGAGTACCTCACTGCCATATTTTTAATTTTTGCTATTTTTTCTTGAAACAATTCAGCATGCAGATATGGTTTCAAAATATTACAAATACTCATATATGTAATTGCTGAATTTTACCTAATTCTCCTCCTGACATTGTCTCCTGACTTTCTCCTGTTGAATACAGGAAAATAAAATCATCAGCAATCTCATATACCAGTAATATAATGTGATTTGGGATCATAACAGAAAATAACTTTTTAAAAGAAATTTATTTTACTGAACCCGTTTGAAATTATAAATGGCCACCTGTGTTCCAGGACATCCTAGTCCCAGTGCATTTTTTACTTGTCTCCACTAGAGTTTTACTGGTTTCTTTGTATTCAGAGTTAGCCTTTTACCTGTGTACCAGATTACCCTAGTCCTTCTATAATCACAAAAATGAATATAGGGACTTCCCTGGTGAGGCAGTGGTTAAGAATCCGCCTGCCAATGCAGGGGACACGGATTTGAGCCCTGGTCCAGGAAGATCCCACATGCCACGGAGCAACTAAGCCCGTGCGCCACAACTACTGAGCCTGCGCTCCAGAGCCCACGAGCCACTACTACTGAGCCCACGTGCCACAGCTACTGAAGCCTATGCACTGCAACAAAGAGTGGCCCCTGTTCGCCGCAACTAGAGAAAGCCCTCGTGCAGCAATGAAGACCCAACAAAGCCAAAAGTAATAAATAAATAAAAATGAATATAATTATTTTACCCATAATGAACTTACAGATGAGATCCTTACCCCTAAATATAATATGATTCCATAGAACATAAATCTCCAGAAAAAGCATCGCCGAAGGGCATTAATGAGTTTGGGATTTTTCTTTGAGGCCAGTTCTCTATCCCATTCTCTGCAAAAGAATACAAAGTGGGATCAGTAAGTTGCATGTGCAAGTATCTGAGTTCTCTATTTCCCTTAACATAGTTTTATTCACAGAAGTACATTCAAGGAGATTAACCCAAGTGACTAAAGAGACAAAACCTTGTGGGGACCTTCCAACACCAACGCTCAGGCAGATATTTCGCAGAATTCAATGCTCCGCCATATATCAATTTTCAAGGAGTTGACTTCATGAAAAGGCCACACTATATGTGTTAAAGAAAGGTTCTGGCCTTCTAAGAAGCAATGAATGCAAGAGGTGGACAAATAAAATATGACTCTTATGAATACACATTGCTGTGCTTAGAACAAGGTGAAAAATAAATATTTAATTTTTTTCCCTTCAGCTCTTGATCTTTACCTGTTTAGAATTGCAGTGGATTTTACAAAATCTAACTGTCAAACCAAAAACAAGATTAAAAGTCAGGTGGATTTTTCTGTGACTTAACATTAGAAAAACTTGTTGTTTTTAAACGTAGGGGTATGAAACAAGTATCATCAACTTTGATTTTCAAATACTAAAGTCATTCTTTACAATAAACATCTTTGGAAAATTAGAACAGAATCAAATTCTATATATTCTGGCAGGAATAGAAATTAAATAAGTCTGAAAAATGGCTGGTGTCAAATAAATGTCTCTGTTTTCTTTTAAATACTATACATTCATCAGCCAATTATATTTACATTTTTGCCACTACTTTCTGTTCATAAAAACCCTCTTTCTCTTCCCAAGTGGATAAAATATATCCCTAAATGTTACCCTCATCTTCATTTTTAAACTGTACAGAGATGAAAAGTTTCACAGGAAAGAACTATATAAAGACTTTATATTTTATCAACAGCTATTCTCATTACTATCCATCTACCATTATTAGAGGTGGTTCTAAGTTACTCCAAAGGAAGACCACACAACTGAGATTTGAGGGCAGGTTTGGCAGTCATGGGCATTGTGCATGGACACTGGCTCCCCTGAGAAGCTTACTCTCTCATGCCTAATTACGCTATGCTACCCATCTACCTGCTCACACTCTTCCCACTCTTCCACTCACACACAAGACTTGCCTCCCATCCATGTCATTTGGTGATTCACAACGGGGTAAGAAGCTAAATGTGGAGACAGATTCTGCCTCTCTTTCAAAGGAAGAATGAGTCAGATGAGAAAGCCAGGAAGAGAGGTGGTACATAAACCAAAGAAATGGTTTCAAGTTGGGAAGAATTGGTCAACCCTGAAGTCATGGTAGGAAGATGTCATTATAGTTGACATTAAGAGTCCTCTGGTGACCCTAGTCAAGGTCATTTTAGGAATATGGTAGACCCAGAAACCATATTTCAGGGAGCTGAGATGTAAAGGAAAAGAGAAGTAGAGAGACCAGGAGAGCACAGAGATATTAGCTGTGGGGAAAAAAAAAAAAAGAAATGAATGAGGTAGCGATCTGAGAGGAAGGCAAAGCTGGGGAATGTTTCAGTGGATGGGACTTGAACTACTGGACCCTGAGGGAAGGAATCAGCAATGAGAGTACATGGGGTAGTTCCCACAATACCACAACAGACCCAGTAAGCATTCCAAACACCAAGAGTTGAATCATAATGGAAGAAATTTTATACTTATCAAGTTTGTAGCTTAGCTACAGTCATGGAATGGATGTGCGATCTGCATACAGGAGTAATGCACAGGGTTCAAATCCACGGCCACAAACTGAGCCAGATGGGCCAAGGTACCTCAACCACATGGTAACCACCTAGGGCCTTCGTCACATATCATCTTTGAAATCTGTGGCCCGGGTCACTTTCCAAGGGCGCAGAGATACAAAGTACTATAAGTGATATTTCACTCTTTCAAAATACTTCAGTAAATTCTAAATAACAATGTTTACAAAAAAGAAATAACAGAGTGAAGAAGAGATACCCCAAAAAAGACAAAAATAATAAAGATAAAGTTTATGGACTTATGCTGGCACAGTGTTGGATTGAAACAAAATAGGTACATTTTAAACACTGAATTGATATGGAGACACAATGAAAACTGAGGAGAAAAAACTGTTAGGCCAGATAATCCTACAAATTCAGGTTATGTCCTCTATTTGGCCATAAGTAAAAATAAATCTGGAGTATGCAGGTTTTGATTAACCTAGTCCTACTCTGATTAATCTTTCCCTCAGCATCCATTTAGAACTTAGATATTCATTAACCACTATATTATTTTGAACTTGCTGATATACCTACAATATACTATGTTTATATATTTTATCTCTGCAGAAGTGTTACAGGTTTTTACATAATGCTAGCCATTTCACATTCAGTCATCATTCATTCATTCAACAAATATTTACTGAGCACCTGCTACAGTCAGCCCTTCATGTCTGCGGGTTCCTCATCCTCAGATTCAACCAACTGGGGATGGAAAATACTCACCAAAAAAAATTCCAGAAAGTTCCAAACAGGAAAACTTGGATTTGTCATGTGCCAGCAACAATTTACATAGCATTTACATTTTATTACGTATCATAAGTAATCTAGAGATGATTTAAAATATACAAAAGGATATGTGTAGGTTATATGCATTTTGTATAAGGGACTTGAGCATCCATAGATTTTTATATCCAGGGGGAATCTAGCAAGGGACAACTGTATATACCAGACCCTATTCTAGACCCTATTCCAGGCACATCATAAACTGAACAAATCAAACAAAAACAAAAATCCCTGCCCTCATGGCACGTACACACACTAAGTACTCGACATTAGGAGCTGGACCTTGAACTTGGAAATGTGAAGCTGCTACTCCCACTAGCCTAATTCTTTGAATAAAATCAAGAAAAAGTAAGGCTGAATATCTTGTCTTGAAATTTCAAAAGAAATTCAATGAATTCCATGAAAATAAGGTAAACAAATTGCAAATCTACTCAGCTATTTTATTTTGGTGCAGTAAAAAGTAGCTACTTCTTTTTCTTTTTCTTTTTTCTGTCAACTCCCTCTCCGCTTTCCCCTTCATCTGGTATCAGACCCTGTACTGCTGGCACAAGACCCAGTCTAGCTCATTCATAGATTGTTGTTGGTCCAAGGAGTGAGCTTGTGACTCAAAAGTTTCTGGGATTTTTCACATTTGGCCACAGAGAAAGGACTCTTTCCTCTGTGGTCTATAAAAATGTGAGCAAAGAGTTCTGAGGACCCACTGCATGGAGGAAGCTGATCTGAGAGAATAAAACCAGTCCCTGGTTCCACTGAGTCCCTAAGGCCAATTCTCTACCTAGGCCTTCACACAGGTTGACTACATGAACCAATGAATTCCCTCTTAAATAAATTCACTGGCAACCAAAAGGATTATAACCAGTACTCTTAGAGAGGAAGACTTCTTTACAACGGGAAACACTGTTCCTGGGGAGGCCAGGAGTATAGACCTGGGTTTGAACTACAGCTCAATCAATTATTAGCTGGAAAATTACATCATCTCTCTGAGCCTCAGTTTGCTCTTCTGTAACAAAGAGATAATGATGCTTTCCTTCCAGAGTGGCTGAGAGGAGATATTACACCTGGCATTCAACATATACTCAAAAATATGAAGTTTTTACATTTCTTTGACATCCAACAGCCTTTACCCTAAGATTTCCAAGTATGTACATTTGTATTCACACATTAAGATTTTGGAGGCAAATGTACACAACTTGCTTCATAAAGATGTGATTCCAGTCTTCACAGAATACACGTAATAGTCTTCAAAGACAGGTAGCTTCTCAGAATACAAACATGTGTTTTTCCAAAAAAGGTCCTATCTCAGGAAAATGGTTTTTCTTCTTTCATCCTTTCATTGTTTAATTCTTAACTAATCAAGACTTCATCAAGAAAATAGGATGTTCCTATTATAAGTATGCCATTTTAAGAATTAAACCCTCTAATGTCAGTTCTCTAGTCTCTAAATAATATTAATTTCTCTCTTCAATAAACAATGTGTATGAACATACCTTTCCAATTTTTCAGATAGATTGTCAGCAGAATCAGAAGAAGAGATATGGTATATGTCTGACAATTCCAGGCGCTGTCTGTACCCTTTCCTCAAAATTGGTCTGGTCCAGCTAAAATAAAGAGAGGAGAGACAGATATAAATGTTAACTTGATTTGATCTCCAATGTAGACTTGGAATCAGATACAGTTTCAAATTTTATAGCATGTGGAAAATGGTGGTAGTGCATAAATACGAGAATAAAATAAGTCAACTTATATAAGTGCCAGGGAGTCATATCTTACAGAACACAACTATATAAAACATCATCACCTCTGAACTGATGTGACTACAGCTTTGTCTAAAAGGATGGGGGATGACGGTAGAATCATCATCTTTCCCAGAGGAAAAAAACAAACTGCTAAACATTCTATACTAAAAGTATTCTTCAAGAAAAAAAAAGAAGAAAATTCCCCCAAATAACCAGATACTAGGAGTTTATAGTTTGCTGAAGTCCACTCTCTACCACTTCAAATACAAAATGATCTGTGAATAAGAAGACAGACCCTCAAACAACACTCTTATATAATTTTGTTAACCATAGCTCACAGTACTCAGCAATGAGCTATTTGTTGAATGAACTGACTGTAGCTGGAGTATCAGTTTGTTGACTTAATCATCACCGCTGAATGAGGGTGGGGATCATAATTTTATGTTTTGTCTCCTCACCCCATAGCAGTTATGCACATCTGCCCTCTAGGCATCTAATAAATAACAATTTATGATGGAAGCTAGGGAAGCTGGCATAGTAAATACTTATGCAGGATACTCCAGTTATTTTCAAATACATTGTTTCTACTACTGTGAATAAGGAAAAATAATCTTCACAGAGATAAGAAAATCTAAAAAGAAGTCAAAGACAAGGGAAAACAAAGAGGAAGGAGAGAGGGGCAGGAGAATTGTAAAACAAAGAAATCACGTACAAAGAGAAACTTCTAAATGAAATTTGAGCAAATGAGACCTTTCTCATGTGAAATTTCATATATTTATTTTTTAACATCTTTATTGGAGTATAATTGCTTTACAATGGTGTGTTAGTTTCTGCTTTATAACAAAGTGAATCAGCTGTACATATACATATATCCCCACATCTCCTCCCTCTTGCGTCTCCCTCCCACCCTCCCTACCCCACCCCTCTAGGTGGTCACAAAGCACCGAGCTGATCTCCCTGTGCTATGTGTCATATATTTATTAAAGAAAGAAATTGAACTTGAAATCAGTGATTCCCAACATATGCTTTTACCCTTACCATCTTTCTTTTCTTCAGAGAGTCCTAAAATTTGGTGTCATTGAGACGTTGGTAATACATCAAAATTCATGTTACCCACCAAAAATCAATAGGGAGTGTTTTAGCAATATCTGAGAAGCAAAATAAACTTATACTAGGAAAATTATTCCAGCAAAGCCATTCAGAATAAAAAGAGGAAATGCTATGCCAAATGCAAACATTTTGACATTGTTTTCAGGGCAAAACTTTGCAGAAGGCTCTCATGTCCACCTTCACCATTCCCACCCCAAGAGTCCAGATTCTTGTTTACACTTCCCTTGTCTCCACCTTCTTCAGTCAGCCACTGCCCTGTGTTCCTGATGTCTCTACAACTTGTCCTTCCTTAAAATTTACCTGAATTAAGACCCAGCTCAAGGACTTCGCTGGTGGTTCAGCAGTTAAGACTCCACCCTCCCAATGCAGGGGGCCCAGGTTCGATCTCCGGTCAGGGAACTAGACCCCACATGCCGCAACTAAAGACCCCGCATGCTGCAACTAAAGATCCAGCGTGCCACAACTAAGACCCGGCACAGCCAAATAAATAAATAAATATTTTTTTTAAAAAAAGACCCTGCTCAAAGGCTCAGTAGTTTCACCAACCATTTCTGACCAAGATATCAACAAGTGACAATGGTTTAATATGTCAGTTTCTTCCATTAACTTGCAATATTTGCATCTTAACAAGAGCCTTCAAACTTCAGCAAAGGGTGATAATTGTTTTATCTTTATTGCCCAGTGTGATCCATGGGCAATTTCTCCTGGAGAGCGAGAATGAAAATAGTTAAGGACAGTCTGAACACAGCAGTTAAAGAAGTGCTGTGATCATGCAGCATCTGCATTGGGCATCGTCTGTGAGACTGCTGGCACACCTGCCTGGCACTCACAATCTAGTAGCCAACATAAGCACTTTGGAAGTACATTTGCCAATACAGGGGGCAGTAAGGGTGTGAAAAATCTGGGACAGCAATTTAGGATATAAACTCCATTCTGTTGGTTATAAGCCTTTGTAAACTTAAGAAGTGAAAAGGTGAAGCAAGTGTTTACTACTAATAAAAAAATTATGCGTATATAGCACTTTCACAAACACTAGCATATTGTGATTTTCATTGGAAAGTCTTGATAGGTAGGTAGAACAAGAAGAGATCATTGCCCTACTTTAAGGATAAAGAAATGGAGGCTCAGAGATGTTAAATTTGTCCGTTACTAAATGTCACAAACTAGATTTTTACCACATTCTTCTGATGTCATTTCTTCCTTTACCACGTTCAGCTCTTATGTTTAGGAAAATTAAACTTGGTGGGTTATTCTAGACATAGTGCTGGAACGCAGGTCTGGAAGCAGGGAGACCAGAAGCTAGCAGACTGCAGGCAGTAGTGTGGTGTCGTGTACTGACAAATCTTTAATCATGCCTTCTCCAGGAAAAAACAAAAAACAAAACGTGACTTATGGTATTTGCCAATTTCTGTCACCAGAAATGTGAAGTCACCAAATGTGAAGTCACCGAACACAAAGTTGGGAAGAGATACACAGCTGCATATTATAAGATTGTGTGATTACCATTCAGATACAATCAACATAACCTGAATACATAGATAATGATTAGGTAGTGATAACTTTTCAATTATTACCTTTGTTTTAATATAATTTATTTGATTGTAAGCATAAATCAATTAATTTTTAATACTAGTTGTACTTAACAACCAGCTCACAAAGTTCCTGAAAATTTAACAATCAGCTCAGCCAGAAAGGGCCAACAGCAGTAGATCACTTACTGCCAGATGGTTGAAAGACTCAGGACAAGGGTAATAGCATTGAGAATGGAAAGGAAGGGGCCTATGGAAAATTTGGAAGAGAAAAATATACTCCGTGTATTAATAAACCTTTCATTTTCAGTATGTTTGAAATTGTTAAAATAGGAAACTAAATTTACAAATAAAGAGAAGTTCGCTATCTGTAAATATTACAATACCAAAGACATTTGCAGGAAATTTAAAAACAAATCTTTTCTTTCTTTTAAAAACTAAATAAACATACATCTTTTGGTCCATATCTAAGACCTGATCACCGTTTCCATTAATGAGTGTCTAGCTCATTTTTAAAATACTTTAAGTAACACCTACATTTATAAAAAGCTTCCTGCATTATCCATGCCCATTTTAATATATATGTTATACCAAGACATCTAATTTTGATTATCAAGAGTTCCACAGCCCAGCATCATCAAATCTAACATATTCAGTAGTATTAAAAGTTAGCCATTTAGGGCTTCCCTGTTGGCGCAGTGGTTGAGAGTCCGCCTGCCGCTGCAGGGGACACGGGTTCGTGCCCCGGTTCTGGAAGATCCCACATGCCGTGGAGTGGCTGGGCCCGTGAGCCATGGCCGCTGACCCGGCGGCCCGGGGCGCGTCTCCCCAAAAGGGGGAGACACAAAAAAAGAGAGGCCCCCAAAACCAAAAAAAAAAAAAAAAAAGTTAGCCATTTATAATTATTAATATAATTTAGTGTTTCTGACAGAGTCACTACAGTAAACCTATATTTGTAACCTGAAATAGAAACAGCTTAAGGTAAATTATGAGAACTAAAATCAATTAACCTTAGGCTGCCTGGCAATCACCAGAGTTATCTGAAAGAATTTATTTCGTGAGATTAAACCAAAAAGAAAATTGAATGAAATTTCTGCCCCATCAAGGAGGTCTCCATGACTACCTCAAGCCAGTCACAGAAATACAAAAAAAAAAACCAAAACAAACAAAAAACTCCCCAGGTATCTACACTTAGACATTCACTGAAATATTAGTTACTGTAAAACTCCAGCCACCACTTTTTTTGAATGAGCTTGAGTATGTTAAACATACTTGGATAGAATTTAGAAATGCCAACTCAGGATTTCTACTTCAGCATTTCTTCCATTAAATATTAATGAGTACCCAGGTGTTTCATTAGCAAGGCAGGTACACCTGGAATAACCAAAAGCAATAAACACTATTCTTCCTCCTTATCCTCAAATTTGCTCCCACCCACCCTTCCTCTCACCTCTAACTGATCTTACCCTTCTCCTTCATTCATAACCTGTCACTGTGTATTGAAAATGGACTTATAAATTGATCTACTTAGAAACTGTGACAGTTTCCAAAGTTCTCGTTATTTCTAACAGAAACTAGCTAATCATTAATTACAAGGTAGCAGACAGAGATCCTTAAGATATATAGTTCTTTATAACCTAAAATTTTGGGACTTCCCTGGTAGCGCAGTGGTTAAGAATCCACCCACCAATGCAGGGGACACGGGTTCGAGCCCTGGTCCGCAAAGATCCCACATGCCGTGAAGCAACTAAGCCCGTCTGCCACAACTACTGAGCCCGCGAGCCACGACTACTGAAGCCCGCGTGCCTAGAGACCATGCTCCGCAACAAGAGAAGCCACCGCTCACAGCAACGAGAGAAAGCCCGCATGCAGCAATGAAGACCCAACGCAGCAAAAAATAATAATACCAATAAATAAATAAATTTATTATATATATATATATATATATATCCTAAAGTTTTCAACGAACTTAAAAAAAGTCTGGTACCCAGACACACTGTGCACTTAACGATAAGAGTCTTCTAAGGAAAAATGCTATCACTTGATTTTTTTTTAATATATACACACACATACACACCATGAAACTGTATTTAGTTTCTTTTCTTAGGACAAAATTTCCGATTTCTACATAAATTTAGAGTGACTTGTAATTCCTTATGATGAAAAGAATTTTCCAATTATAGACACTATTAAAGCTTTGATTTTCATGAAACCTATCCCTGT